CTGGCTGTTGCCAGGTAACTGTGGAGGTGAAGTTTAGACAGAATACTAACACTTGGTACCCACAAAAGACAATAAGATGGCATGAAACAATTGTGAGCCACCGCCTTGTGGTTGTGGGAATTGAATCCAGATCTTGAGTAGCAGTGCTCAAAACTTGTGAGTCATCTCTCTGGGCCTGCTTTGCATATCTGTATTCTTTTCAGGTTCAGCACTTTATTGGACATGTTAACAAATGCAATTTAGTCAAAAAATCCAAAGCCCATGTCATCTTCTAACTCCTCGGATTCTTCCTTCTTTGCTTCCACTTTCTTCTCCTCGGCTGCGGCAGCAGCAGTGGACGGAGGAGGACCATTAGCAGGCGCAGCTTCAGCTGCTGGAGTGGGTGCACCAGCCTCTCCGTTGCAGATGAGGCTCCCAATGTTGATATTGGCCAGAGCCTTTGCAAACAAGCCAGGTTAGAAAGGTTTAACATTGACACCAGCTGCTTTAATGAGGGCATTGGTCTCATCCTCTGTGACTGTCACCTCGTCATTGTGCCGGATGAGGGCAGAGTAGATGCAGGTGAGCTCGGAGACAGAAGAAAGCCATGTTGTGGACTGCTGGCACAGTGAAGTAAGGACCTCACCCTAACGTGGCCTTAGTTTCCTCGGAAGGACCGAGCACCTTGGCAGCAGCTGAGGAAAGCACTTATCTGTATTCTATCATTTATTTCAATCTATACATAATTTGATTGTTCTCTCTTCTCCAACATGGTTTCCATACATACACTATCCTTATGTTTACATTTCATTTACTCCCTTTGATGTTCATTTAGATTGTTCCCATTGGAAGATGTTGGGTTCCCATCTTTAAGCTTGTCTTGGAACATTAGTTAGACACATGCCTTTATTCTGTATACAGGGAAGGTCTGATAAAATGTCGGAAGTTGGGATTCCACCTGGGGTAGCAATACATTTTCAAAAATTCCTCTTTGTTGTTAGACAGTCTTGTTTTGTTTGACCACATTTTCAAATTTCCCTCTACCCTTCCTTCAGTCACCCCCACTCTACATTTTCTTACCATCTAAGTGTCCAGCCAGCCAGCATCGTGTTCCATCTGAGAGGACCGTTCTGGTTATTCAATCAATATTTCTTTTCCAAGGCACCTTTCTCAGAAATAACACAAGAAATTTTGATGGGAAGAAAACACAGGGGAAAATCTATTTTTTTTAAAATGTCAACTCCCAGGCTTGATATGAATGACTTAGGTTTGAGAAATGACAAGTAATGCATTGTCATTTGGAAGCAGAAATTGCCAATCTATAACCCCTGGTCATCAGGCCATTATAGATGGGACTGCATAATTATTTCCTAAGTGGGGCAGCAGACAAATTCTTTCCACCCTAAGTCAGACCTCACCATTGAATATTCTAAGATTATAGCCAGGGAAGTCAGCAAAAGGTTTAATAAAGACAAGTGATAGGTTAGGGAGAAGAAAGACCTGGATGGTAGCAGTTTTTGTCATACGATTTGATTAAGTTAAAAAATCTTAAACACAGATACTCAGCTGTTACACTTGCTCATCGGCACAGCAGCTCAACATTCCTTAACATGATATGTCAAGGAAACCCTCTCATTTCTTCTGCCAAAAACCAACACATGCTCTCTTCTGTCATCATACCCGTTAACATAGTTACTCCTCCCCAAAGTCAGTCATGGTCACATAGGGTGTTTTACTACTTCAAGATTGTGGTAGTTTGAATAGGAATGACTCCCATTAGCTCATATATTTGAAAGCTTGGTTACCAGGGAGTGGCACTGTTGGGAAGGACTAAAAAGTGTGACCTTGTTGGAGGAGGTGTGTCCCTGGGAGAAGGCTTTGAGGTTTCAGAAACTCAAGTCAGGCCCAGTCTCAGTCAGCCTCTCTCCCCACACCCCCTTCCTCTCTCTGCCCAGTGGATCTCTGCTATGATGATAATGGACTATTTTCTGAAATTGTAAGTCAGACCCTAATAAAATGCCTTTTTAAATGAGTTCCCTTGATCATGGCGTCTCTTCATAGCAATAGGATAATAATAATTAATAATAATTAATATTAATTAATTAATAGCAATTAAGACAAAGGTAAAATGTCAACTTAATCCAGGAAACAGAGAGAGGACAGGTCAGATTCCACTGTCCCATTTTGGGGGCACAACCACAAAGAATTAAAAGCCTCACAAAGACCCCTCTCTTACAGGTCCACAGCACCTCTCAATACGAACAATCAAGAACCACGCCTTTACCAAAGACCTTTGGGACTTGTCATCTGCCCCAAAGTAATGAGTTTTAGTCTTCTGTACCCAATAGTAAAGATATTTTAAAATTACAACAAAAACAGAATGGCCTCGAGCCATTCATCTGGGAATACATGAATATTGGTTCTCCGAAAGAAGAATCAGGAACAGTGAAGTTTCCACTGAGATGAGAGTGAGAGAAAGATGAGGTGATGGTTAGAGAAATCCATGAGCTGTGATCATCCAGGGGAAGGATGACTGTGCTGTCCCAGGGGCTCCACTGTGTGTGTCTGAGCTTGTCTGTAAGCCTAGCTGACTTCTTCCCAAAGGCATCATTAGAGGTTTGTGTTAGAAGGAGCTAAGAAGTGTTGGTAAATTCTGATTAGATATTTTAATTAGGTTAGTCAAAATAATGAGTTTTGATTGCTGGACCTTGATGTTTTGATAATTGGACCATGGCGATAAGTCTTAGGAATGAGTCTGGAGCCAAATAAAAGAATGTAATCTAAGGGGAAAGGATAAAGGACAAAACCTAATAGGCGCCATGTCTGCCATGTTCAGGCTGCTAGAGCCTTTCAGATCTAATCATCTTTCTGGTACTTTTATGTGCTGTGTAAATGATACAATACTATAGTACTTATCGGAACTGATTAGTGAGCTATAAATTAATGAAATCCAATTGTTTTGTTGAGAAATGTACATAGAGATTGACTTTCATTCATTTCCATCAGGAAATGAGCTTGATCTAATAGCTACCCTCTGTATTCATAGAGTTGATTTTTGCATATTTTGATTATAATGACTTTAATACATATTCTGTTTTTCATTATGTTCCATGTTAAACATTAAAGCCATCTAAAATAGTATAGGTTCAATATTTCAAGTCATATGACTTGTAAGCTTTAACTAGTCAACATGTCCATACACCTGTGTTTTAACACTACAGTTGCTTTCTTTTCAAGTGGTTTTATGCATAATGTCTCTTTATTCCTATTATTACATGTGATGGAAATGCCACTAATGAGACAATGACAATACTTTTTTTTCACAAGCACATCGATGTAGATTATTTGAGGTATTTGCCCTGATTTAATTAAACCTTATAGATTCCAAATGACTGATCATGATGACGTCATCCTGAGCTCTTCTGTAACTCCTTCTGATGCCGCTGGAAGCCTCAGACAGGAGAACATAAATACTAAAAATACTACCTATAACATTTTTTATAAGAATTTGTAATTGTACCTCCTTGAATTTGATATTCATTCTAACAAAAAGAGAAAGCCAAACTGCAATAGGTCATGGGAGTACCTCGCTCCTCTTTCCTTCTGGTTCCAGCCAGTCTCCCAGCCTACTTTCTTCCTTTCCAGCTTTATTATATCTAACTGCGAACATTTCCTAGTTAGCCATCTGATTATAAAATTGTTCCTTTGGGGAAAATAAAACTTCAAATTACACTATTTTTCTCCAAATGCTTTCAGAATTGAGAATATAACATCACTCAAGTAATATATCTATCTGCTCGCTTAAAAATGTGTTTCTTTTGAAACACAAGAGCAAATATTGTCTCTTTGTAAATGAATCACTAGATACACTTTTTTCTCACCTCAGGGGACAAAAATCATACCCAAGCTTTAGATTTAAAGGCAGAATATATTTACCTGAGGAAATTAAAATTATTTTGAATCTATTATCTCCCCCCAACCCTATATTCCCCATCTCTGTAGCTCATCAAATTACTTTCTCCTTAAAGACATTCTTCGTTGAAAGAAAACAAAACATTCTGGAGATAGCAGAGGTAGAAATGAATTTTCCTTCAATAATACACCAAAATGTATCAAATTTTGGCCTACTTTGGAGAGAAACTAGCTCATTTTTCCTTCCTTCCTTCCTCCCTTCCTCCCTTCCTCCCTCCCTCCCTCCCTCCCTCCCTCCCTCCCTTT